GGTAATGCCTCTCCTTCCTAACTTTTTAATTGCTTGTCGTTAAAGATCAGTGCCCAGCAGCCCTGAAACTGAATCCTCTGTTCCATAGAAACATCCAGGACACAGATGCCCTCGTAGTGACTGCTGACTACTAGGGAATACAAAGTATAAAATGGGGAAGATTCATGGGCAGGAGAACCTTTGTAGTGATTCAAGTCCATAAATAAGGCTGATTTACGTCTTAAAAGCTTTATCCGTCATATTCAGACCCAGCATGAAATCTGGGGACCCTGCTGTTTCTGTCACTTTTAGTCAATTGTTGACTACAATCAACAACCATCAAGTCCTAATGACTGTCAAGGTCTCTGTTAGGGCCACACAACACAAAAAGAGAAATGATGTGACTTTTGGTATCCTGGTTTATTTTCCTTGGCTTCCAACAGTAATGGGTAAGGAGAACTAAGGGAAGAGAAAGAGTATCCTATTTCTAAACACTCTACTTTTCAAAAAATACATTATCTCACTTCCTCTTCACAATGACCCTCAGAGATGAGATTCTCACTTCATAGATGAGTTACACAAGACTCAATGAGATTGGGAAATCTGCCCAAGTCATGTAGCTAATAAGCAGAGAAGCTGGGATTCAACCTAGATCTGTCTCATTCTAAGACATTCTATGCTGCCTCCCAGATGGAAAGGTCTAAACAAGTTCCCATCAGTTTATTAAAATGGAGACCAAAAAAGTGACTATGTGTGACCAAAATATTTAGTTCGTTCATTTGAACTAAAAATTTAAAAATATTTATTTTGATTCTCACACACTGTTGGTTAGAGTGAAATGGATACATTTTGGGAGAAAACTTTGGCAACATGTACCAAATTTGGGGGGGAAAAAAGATGTAATTGCATTCCCAGGAATTAACTCTCACCAAAAAATCACCAACGTGCACAGACACATATATGTACAAGGACAGTCATTCCAGGGTTGTGTGTATAAGTGAAAATGACAGCAAAATGTCCACTACATGGAATTAGCTAAATAAATTACACTGCATACCTACAAGGTCCATGCAACTTCACTAAAAATAATGATGCAGACTCACGTTTAGAGACATGGTAAGCTATTCACAATTCATTGTTCAATAAAAATAAAAATAATAAAAATCAGTGTGTATATTATACAAATACAGAAAAAAAGGTCTGGAAAATATATCCAAAAATGTTATATTTTCAGTGGCTTTCTAAATTTTTACAATACAAAGACTGTTTTATAAACAGAAAAAGAAAAGGGAGGAGTCTGAAATCTCAATTACTAGTTACATAAATATGTATATTATTAATTTATAGTCCCATTCTAAAAAAGATGTTTGTCAGCTGAATACATGTATACATTTACAACATAAATAGTAAAACAAATTTGACAGAAGAAGCTGTGTCTTATTAAACTTTTGTCACCGGGCCACCCGCACCCCCCCCCCCAAAAAAAAGTATCTATAAAGATTTTCTGATTTTAATGCATGCATGAGTCTATGCATTTTCCATATGAGCGATACAAGATTATATGCATGTGCACGTTAATTTATAATTTCTGGTCTAAGGAAAGTGGTCTGGGGCATCTTCGTAAGTCTAAAACTTTCAAAAAAGCCCTTACGATGCATGGGGGCATACTGCCCTCTGCTGGACATGCAATCCTACAATAAACAAAATGTTCTTTATTCACTGAACAACACTATGTACACAAGATACTAAGCTGGGCACTGTGGGATCACTACAAGAAAAACCCAAAGTACTTTTGTGTTGGAAAATAAAAACCTTGAAGGAAGGTGATAAAAATTTAAGAATTTCCTCTGGATCCATTAATATGATGGTACTGCTATTATGATCACTATCATTACTATCATCATCATTCTAAAAGTAAACGGCACCATATCATTTATAGAACTTAAAAGCACATTAAGCTATACCAAACATAAAAAACAAAGTAATTGCATTTAGAATACAGACATTCCTTGAGTTGAACCTGACTTGTTGACATTCATTGAAACCTGTGAACAGCCAGGGGGGACACTCCCAGCCCCGACACAGCCTGACATGAGCAAGCCTGCCTTCCTCCTCAACTCCTACACTGTGTCACCTGGTCACAACTGTAACAGGAAAGCTCAATCCCTTCTTTCTTACTCTCCTAAGGCTTATGCCCAAACTATAGTTTTCTTTTTTAACCAACTTAGTTCCACCTCAAACAATCTCTTCCTCTTGTTTCCTCTCATTGCAACCAAAACAAATTTTTTTTCCATTATCATGCCAACTCTTGAACAGAAATACTGAATTCTAAAGTGAAACTGAATAGTGACAAACGTGTATTATCAACCTCTAAGATTATCTGAAGTACCCAAAAATATTCTTCAGTGTCTCTTTGAACAATCTGAGCTTTTAATGTCAGTGAAACTAGTTGTCATTCATCTTATAACCAAAAATGACATAATACCAACCATTTTTCTATTTTGCTTAATGACGAATACTACAATTTAACTGTTCACAGACTATGCATAGTATTTAAGTCTCAGAGTTGTTTAAATGAGCCACTATGCAATTATCTGAGGAGACTACACCATTTAAACATTATTTCTACGGGAAAGTATCTTTTGGGTTCTTGGCTAATAATTCACAGACAAGTTGGAAAGACAAAAAAAACAGTTATAGATTATAGTTACAGTTATTGATTGATTATAGTAACTCATCAGAACAAGAAGTCCATCAGAAAGTCCAACAACTGTGGTCTATACTCTTTGACCTAGAAAATTCTACTGCTAGGAATTTAGCCTATAGATGTCCTTGCCCATGTATAACATATTACAGCAGTTTTGTAACAGCAAGAGATGTGTATGTCCATTGATGGGTAACTGGTAAAATAAGATATGGTACAGCCATAAATGGACAGTTTGTCAAAAGGAATGCAGTGTAGAATGAAACTCAAATTCCTAAAAAAGGCAGACTTACTGGACCCATAGAGACTAGAGGAACCCCGGAAACTACTGTCCTAAGATACCCTTTGAACTTGGAACTGAAGCCACTCCCAATGGTCATCTTTCATCCGAACAATAGATCGGCTCTAAAACAAACAGTATCAAACCGTGAATATTGTGTTCCCTTAAATAATCAACTATATGTGACCAAGCAATCAACATTTACCCTAAAACAGAGAAGAGAGGCTAAGGAGGGGCAGGGAAGCTAGATTAATGGAAACAGAAAAGAATGGAAATAATGAGAATGTTGACACTTTGTGAAAAACGTAACCAATGTCATGGAACAAGTTGTATACAAATTGTTAAATGAGGACCTAATTTGCTATGTAAAATTTCACCTAAAACACAATAAACTAAAAAAAAAAGGGAGAACATAAAAAATTATGTTCAAGATGTAAGTTACAAAAAAAAAAATTAAGTGCAGAACAGTGGGCAATGTACATAAGTAAAAAAAAAAGAACAGAAACCTACCACATACTTGTGCGCTTGCATACGCATAGATTATTTCTAGAAAGATACTCAAGAAACTGGTAACAGCAGTATCTTTGGGGTGGGGAACTATGTGGCTGAGGACAGGGTGGGTGGAAGGCTTATTCATCACTATAACCCTGTTGTACCACTGGAATTTTTTATGGTGTATCTATCTAAAAAACATTTTTTTTTTTTTTTTAATATCTGAACCCTAGTCTTACCAGCTTTCAATTTAAAATACGTTATATGATTGACTACTTACCTATGCCACAAACTTTCTATTCCTAGAATTTCTTATCCTTCAAATTTCAAATTGCACGTTAAAAAAAAAAAAAAAAAACAGAGAAAGAATTTGTTACAAGTTTCAGTAAAGAGCTGCAGCCTTACCTTAAATATGATCACAATGGGTATATCTTCTGACAGAGTATTATGCCTCAAGTAAAACCGTCCTTGCTTCACAGCCATATTGGTTCTGCTTTTTTTCTCATGGGTAGAGCTACAAGTAAGTACAGGTTGGTTAAACTACACTCTCACTTAGAGATGATCATTCCCTTACTTACAAACTAGAGAAGAAAGTTTCAAGCTAGTAACACGTGATATCAATGATCATCAATCCATAAGATTCGACTGATCAATAAAGATCAGTAAGGTCTTTTCTATCTAATAAGTTAATAAGTGCCTTTTAAAAGATGCACTCCACTCCCACAAACTTCTAAAAAACATTATAAATGCTTCTTTAGCTTTGAGATTATGGCGGAAGTTTTGTGGGTGAATGAGTGAAAATCACCAGTTCATCTGACCTATTTCTCTTTGATTCCACCTGAATTGCTTTTGATCCAGTGTGGGGCATACATTCATGACCAATTTTATATACCTGAAAAGAAAAACCTCAAAATAAGTATAAACCATAATGAGAAAAACTATGAAGACATGAATTTACAGATTATGGTTTTTAAATTCATAATCCAATAAAACATACTCACAGTTTTGATATACAGTGAAGACAAAATGTTATAGTATGCCAGCTATAAGAAACTAAGGAATCTCCTTCTATTGGTATTTCTATCAGTTATAAAATTCCTAATGGATTTAAAAACATTTAAAAGATTTAATCAACCACAATAGTAACACACGTGATTGCCTACTATATACCGTGCACTGTGTTACTCACTTTACCTACATTAGCGCTAATCTTCCACATAGCAACACTTACTTTGACGTGTCTCCAAATTATATGTGGAGAAACCAAGGCTTAGCGAAGCTAAGTAACTGCTCACCCCAGGGCCAAACAACTAGTAAATAACAGCCTTGGGACTCAAATCCAGATCGCCTTGGCTCCAAAACTGTGGGAAGTCAGGGCTGTAGAATGACAAGATTTTGGGATCAAATGTAGGCTACCTCTTACAATTGCTGTGACCCTGAGCTCAGGGCCTGTTACTCAGCTGTAAAATATCACTTATCTTGGAAAGTTGTAGTGACAAGTAAATAATATAGGTAAAGCACCTAGCACATTGCCTGACTTTTAGTAAGTGCTCAATAAATAGCCATCATTGTTAGCTGCCTCTCCCTTAGAAGGAAAAATGCAATAGCTCCAGGTTAATCAGTTAATTATAGGTTGTCAAAAGAAAAACTTTATTGCATACTGACATCTTATCTATGACACAAATCTTTCTATTGCCAAAACTCATCAACTTCCAAATTTCAAATTACATATGATAAGAAAGAAGAAAAAAGAAGCTACAAGAGTGACATATGGGGTGCTGTTGTAGAAAAAGGAATACGTTGTCAATGCTGGTTGAGAAAAATAACACAAAGATGTTAAGTCCATGATATAATTCATTCAATATTAAGTGTGAAATAGTCTCTCTCTATGTGTAGGAATATATATGCACATGTTCAAAGACTGAAAAGAATTATGAAGAACTTAGGAGTGGTTTTATATTTGTTTTTTTTTTTAAAGTTTCTTTAATGTTATAAATGAACAGAAAATGCAACATAAATAAAATAATTAGTAGCCTTTCAAATTGGGTCTCACACTTTCATTGCTGAAATTACTCCCCCTCCTTATAGACTTACACAATAAACTAAATGAAGATAGTTTAAATGTTACACTGCCTGTTATCAGAAAGAAGTAACTGGTTACCTCTGTATCGAAAGACCGCCATCTGGTATGAATGGAATTAGCAGTGTTTCTTAAGAATACCATCTGTTCTCCATACCTGGTCACTGAAGCACCGACAGCCCCTTTTCGGTCAGCTTCCACAATGATCCTGTTCTTAGACAGCTGCTCTTGGATAAGAATAACTTTTTCTACCCCTTTAACAATGAAGTAGCCACCTGTCCAAAGGAAACAAGATAAGCTTCACCACCTCCAAACAGGGTGATTCAGTAATGGCAGTGATCTCCTGCATTAGAGATCACGCTGCCATTGCTTAGTGGTGCTATCACTTCTAAAGGGTTTGCCAATATTGTTTTATGGATTGATGATACTGTCACAGCACATTATTTTATACAGATGAGCCATAAGATGGTAAACTTCCTAAGGACAGGGAACGTATCTTATGTGTCTATATATCACCAGCACCTGAACATATTGCAGGTGAATGAAAAAAATATGTTAAATTAGTCTTCAGATTTCTGAACAAAAATAACTATCTTCAACATAAACTGAAATTTGCTGAGTTTTCTAACAAAACAGTGACAATGCTAGACCAAGATTACACTTCCAAAATAATATTCTATACTCAGTAAAAATCATACAACATCGTCATACATTTATTTTCACACAGTTCAGAGTAGAACAAAGACAGACTTCATTTTGCAGTATAAAAGCAAAAGCAAGGTAACATATTTGACTTATGCAATATTTTGTCACAGTCTATTAGTCATATTCTTTGTTAACTTCTTTCAAAAACCTTTTGGGATTCTACATCAATGCAACCTTACAGGAATTAGATTAAAGCAACTATAAAAGAAAATAAATCAATGTCAAATAGTTAAGGAATTACGATAAACTTTCTGTTAAGTGCTAAGCTTGACTACCAAAGAAGTTACCTAAAATAAGCACAGAAATATAATTATTAAAAATTGAAACAAAAAAGACCTTTTTTAAAATCCCTTTCCTGAATTTAAAACAGCCTGAAGTTACACCTGAATCTTTTCAGATCATGGTAGAAAAGTAATTTTGTGAGATTATTTTAGAATATTTAATCATACCAAAAGAAACTACTGAGCAAAGATACAAAGTAAAGACTGACAAACCATGGCAATAATAATAAAGATTTAAAAACTTCGGCACTAAAGTTTTAAACCTGAAATAAAAGAGGAAACAGTGTATCTTTTGGGAATATAGGCTAATAGAATAAAGTTGGAGCCAAATTTCTAGATGTTTTATGACTATAATTTTATCCAACAAGTTCATTATAAAGCAGAAAGGCTGGTATTGTTTTCTGAGAAAAAGTGTTATAACAACAGCAACAGTACACCAAACACAAAAAAAGGTGTCTATGTGTGTGTGTGTTGGCAGGGGGAGGGGGGAATAAATCCAAGGAATCAAACATACCTGGATCTAAAGGACATTCATTCAATTTGGCAAATTCTGCTGGCGTCTTTCCTGTAAGAACACAGTTTGAACTACGTAGCATTATGGGCATTCTGTTTAAAACGAAAAGAAAATACCATGTATAGTTTCTCAGTGGCAAAAAAGCTGAAAAAAAATATAAAACTTGCAGTACACGCACACTAAGGGGATCTGCGTTTCTGTTCTTTGTGTTAGAAAAGGCAGAAGACATAGAAATTACAGGAAAGTGCCCAGTGAAATTAGGTATTTCCTCAGGCACAATGCTCTTCTAGTACAGATAATAATAACTCAAATGTTTGGTTTCCTTCAGCTGCTGCATACAGGCTTCAGTGGAAGTCGGGAATGAGAGCAACTCTTCATTCACATCAAACAAAGGGGACTCTCATTAGTTACTTAGAAATAGCATGCCAAATCAAAGCGTAAAGAACAAGAGCTGATTAAAATTAACCTGGAGATTTTGAAAAAGAACTCAGCAAAACTTCCAGGGAAAAAAAAAAATTTAAGCATTAAAATGTAAAAACCTATGAGTGAATAGATTTGACACTGCTGAAGATAGAATTACTAAATGGAAAAGAGAATTAATAAATGGAAAAGAGATCTGAAGAAATTATTAAGAATGTACTTCAGAGGACCAAGACATGGAAGACATGAGAGAGAGCTGAAGAGCCATGGAAGGAAAAGAAGCAAAGGCAGGAACACAAACAGAAACCTGTACAGCAGTGTTCACTGCAGCACTTTTCACAATAGCCAAAAGGTGGAAATAACCAAACTGTCCATCAACATATGACTGGATAAATAAAATGTGGTGTATATACACACAATGGGATACTACTCAGCCATAAAGAGAAATGAAGTCCTCATGAATGCCACAACATGGATGAACCCTGAAAAAATTATGCTGAGCAAAATAAGTTAGTCACAAAAGGACAAATACTGCATAATTTCACTTATGTGAATAAGCAAATACATAGAAACCAAAGTTTATTAGTGGTTACCAGGGGTGAGAGGGAGGGGGAAAGAGGGAGTTTTGGGGGGCATTGAGTTTATGTTAATGGTGGTGGAATAATTTGGAAAAGGATAATGATAATGTTTGCACAACAAAAAGAACATAATGTCACTGAATTATACACATGGAAATTATTGCATTGACGAATTATTTTGTTGTACATATTTTCACCAGAATAAAAATTTTAAAAATTAATAAATAAAGAGTCATGGAAGGGTAGAGAGAGAAGATCTAACACGTATCTAATCAGACTTCTAGATGGAGAGAATACAGAGAAGGGGCAAGAAGTCCTATTAAAGGGATAATGGCTGCGAACTTTCAAAAATACGTGAAACCTATAAACCCTCACAACAATAACGATGCAGCATAAATAAAAGAAAGCCACATCTAGATACAACATAGTCAAGACACAAAACACCAAAGGCAAAGAGAAGATTTAAAACCCAGCCAGAAGAAAAGGCAAGTTACCAAACAATGAAGGATGACTGGACTGACAGATAACTTCACAACAGCAATTAAGAGATGACAGTGGAGTAATGTGCTCAAAGTGCTGACAGAAATAACTGTCAACCTAGATTTGTACTTTCCGTCAAGCAGCACTCAGAATAAGGTCAATATAAAGATATTTTCAGACAAAAACAGAGAGATGTTACCATTAATAGACTCTCACTAAAAGAATTTTTAAAAGATATACTTCAGGGAGATGGAAAATAAATGCTAAATAAAAGTCTAACAGGCAAAAATGTATGGTAAGCAAAGAAAATGGTAAATTAAAAAAAAAAAAATAAACATTGCCGTCGAGTAGATTCCAACTCATAGAGACCCTACAGAACAGAGTAGAACTGTCCCAAAGGGTTTCCAAGGAGCGCCCAGTGGATTTGAACTGCCGACCTTTTGGTTAGCAGCCCTAGCTCTTAACCACTACGCCACCAGGGTTTAATTATAATCAAATATTAACTTCATAAAACAATAATTTCTGATTTATAGGTTAAAAAAACAAGATAGAACTAACATTTGGCACAACAGCACATAAGTTATAGAAGGCTGATCTGATCCAGGTTAAAGGTCTTTGTTCTTTCCAAGAAGAGGATAAAGATATCGATTACTTTCAAACTTTGTTAAGTATGCATTTCAAAACTTCTGTGGTAAACATAAACAATCAGAAATACTGTGACTTTCCAAAATGCAAAAAAGAAAAAACTGAAATATATGAAAAGCTAGACAGACTAAAAGTACAAAATAAGTTGATATAAAATATCCACATGTCAGTAACTTAAATGTAAATGGGCCACCTTCTAAGACTAGATTTTTTTTTAAAAATCCAGTCATATGCAGTTTACTTCAAATACACCTAATACATAAGGACAAAGAAAGATTAAAAGGAAAAGAATTAAAATAAAAAAAAAAAAAGATATCCCAGAAAAATAACCAAAAGAAAGCAGGTATGGCTACAGTAAAGCAAACAAACAAACAAACAAACAAAAAATTAAGGCAAAAAGCATTACTAAAGATAAAGAAGACAAACGCATAATAATAAAAGATTCAATTCACCAGGAACACCTAAACCACTAAACTTTTATGCTCCTAATATCATAGCTTCAAAAAGTAAAAATATACAGAAATACAATGAGAAATGGATAAATCCACCAACAGAACCAACAGCACAAAAATCAATGAAGCAACAGTCTGGCAGTTCCTCAAATGATAGAGTTACCATATGACCCAGTAATTCCACCGCTAGGTATATACTCAAGAGAAAAGAAAACATATCCACACAGAAAAGTTGTATACTAATGTTTACAGCATCATCATTCAAAAGGTGGAAACAAATCAAATATCTATCAAGAGTCAAATGTATAAACAAAATGTGGTGTACCCATACAGTACAATGTTATCAACCATAAAAAGGAATGAAGTACTAATAGATGCTACAACATGTATGTACCTTGAAAGCTACTGGAAAGAAGCCAGTCACAAAAGATCACATACTATATGATTCCATTCATATGAACGTCCAGAACA